TAACTAGGTTCACCTGGAGATTAACCGCCCCGTCTTGTATCACCTGAAGATTAACCACCCCGTCTTATATCACCTGAAGATTAACCACCCCAGCTTATATCACCTGAAGATTAACCACCCCGTCTTATATCACCTGAAGATTAACCACCCCGGTATATTTAGTTTTTAAATGTTTTAACTTACTCTCTTATTAATATTTGATGAAACTTTATCTTTTTTGTCTGATTGTGAAGCTTTATGTATTTATTTAATAACCAGGATATACATATAAATGTGTTCATTATCTCTCTCTCTCTCTCTCTGGGATAAAACGAGCGAGTGTTAAGCCATCCTCCACTTACCCTCCTCCTGAATCTAGTTTTGACTTCTATTTTTGTTGTCCCTCCCACCACCACCACCACCCCCCCCACCACCACCACCATCATCACCACCACCACCATCATCCCTACCATCACTCCTACCACCACCATCACCACTACCACCACTGTCGGTATCATAATTATGTTGTTTGTGGATCGCCCCTGACGACTGTTGTGGGTGATGGAGGTCCCTCTACCATGCAACTTTGTCATTTGTCTCTAACATCATATAGCATTATGTACTGGTGGACCTCCCCTCCCTCCCTCTCCCTCCTCGCCTCCCTCCTCTCGCCTCCCTCCCCGCCTCCCTCCTCCGCCTCCCTCCTCCCTCCCTCCCTCCCTCTCCCCTCTCCCTCCTCCCTCGCCCCTCGCCTTCCCCTTCTATACTTACTAACCCCACCACCAGTAGAACACACCCAATCGGTAGTAGTAGTCATAACAATACAAAACCCTTATCAATAAGAGCAGCCAATATGAGGAAACCCGACAACTAATACAGTATAAAACAACAACAACAACAACAGCAAAAACCCAGCAACAATTGTAGCAGAAACAGCAAGATAAACAATAACACACGACCAAGACCTCACCTGGAACCTGTGCCCTCAAGACCCCCATGGCAGGAGAGACAATAACACTGGTGGTAAAGCCGAGACTTGACACCCTTGAGGGACTCTTGGTGGTAATACTGCTAGTCAGTTAACGTACAGTAGTAGTCTGGTCAATTGTGAAGAGTAACATGGTGGGCCTGATGGGGTATACTCAACCGTGGACCATCATTTTCTTCGTGTATGTATGTGTGTATGTGCATTAAGCCTCAGCAATAATACTTACTGTAAGATAAGAAATATGTGGAATTGTTATATATATATATATATATATATATATATATATATATATATATATATATATATATATATATATATATATATATATATATAATTTCCTACCAAAGACTTGTTTCATCATCTACGGTTGAGAAGTGTTGCTGAAAATTCCTAAGCCACATTGCCTTGTGCATCACATTCTCGAAGATGTGGTCTCACCAGGGTACGAGATGCACACACGCCAAGCAACTCCAGTGTGTATATGTGCAGTAATGTATACCTCACACTGTACATACCTACCTGTATATCCAGAGATCAGGTGTAATATATCGCATTAAAAATAATGTATGTGGGGAGGGGGCTTCAGTTTCAGTGTGTGTTGGGGGCTTCAGTGTTAGTGGGGGCTTCAGTATGTGTGTGGGAGTGGGGCTGGCTGGTGCGCCTCACCGTGTATTCCGCAACTTGAATAAATTTATGCCCCTGTGCGCCTACACCTTGGCATTTCCATATTTATTACCTTGACGGAAGCTGAGTTAGGATATGGAGCGGTGGCTGGTGGTGTGACTGTTGGAGATAGTGGTGTAGCTGTGAATGATGGTGGTGTGGCTGTTGGAGATGGAGGTGATGCGGCTGTTGAAGATGCCTGAGAGGGAGATGATACAGTGACTGGAAGATGGTGTTATAGCTGTGGGAGATCATGGTGGTGATGGGACTGTGGGAGATGGAGGTAATCCAGCTGTGGGAGATGATGAGACTATGGGGGAAATGGTTAGTAATGTATTAACTGCAGGAGTAGGGCCATAGAACAGCGAGAAGCATAATAAGTCAGCGTGCAACTACAGAGGTCGTGGCGATGATAACTCAGGTGTTGTCTGCTGCTGGTGGGAGAGAGGAAAGTTTTTGGCCTGGGTGTGTTGTGGGGGTCGTCCGGTGAAGAGGTACACAGCAGGAGTCTTCCCTTGGGACAGCCACCAGAGACTTAACCTAAATAATAACAGTATCGAGGAAGGGTTATGGGTTGTATTTGTATTTTAAAAAGGTAAAAAATATGTTTTGTGGTTTTAGTAGGTCATAATACGTAACGTGGTTTATCTCTCGCATATCTTAGCTCCAGGGAGATGAGTAGCGGGGTTCAGGGATGCCAGGACTCACTCTCACTCACTCTGGAAGATTCCTCGTAATATGTCCCAACAATTTCAGGGACAGCATATGCAATAAAGTGTTGGTGAGTGGTGGTGTGGGGGCTTGGTGGTGGTGTGAGTGTTGGTGAAGGTGGAAGTGTGAGCAGGGTAGCTACATCACCCACCTCGTGCTCTCTTCACCAAACAAACAATCATCCTCTAAAAAAAATTTTTTTTAATAAACTAATGCTGTTTGGTAAGTGGATTTAGGGGAAATTGGAATGTGTTTGTGTTGTCTGTTTGTTACCTGTACTTGTGTTATAGTGTTTGTTTTGTGTGTGTTTGTGTTATGTGTTTGTATAGTCGTGGTGTGTTTCTGTATGTTAAGAAATATTTGTCTTGTACAATATACAGTATATGGTGTTTCATAACCTACAACCAACACTGTGATCTTTACAGCCGCCGCTAAGACCTCGTATAATTGACTCCCAGTGACCACCGTGACCTGTGCGTGTGTACATAATATACGATACAGGGGGGAGGGGGTACATTACTTAATGTGGCCCCATTGTCCATATTGGTTCCTGTTATCCATAGTTCCAGGAACCTATGGCACTTCCTGGTGTTGTTTTTGTTTTCCCATTGTTCTTAAGTATAATTATAAAGTTTATATACTCTTAAAATTTGGGTGTATATATTTTTCTTGGTCAGAGAAGTAGACATTTCGTATTGGATGATGATAATTTGTGCATGGCTCAAGGTTCATGGGTAAAGGTCATGTTTCTCGTGTGACAAAGTTTGGCGTTGTTAATACTAGAGGATCAAATCTTCTATTAAGACTTAACGTGTCATTTAGTCACGAGATTATTCAGCGTGTATATTAATCCTGACACCGATATGAATGTCAAAGGTGGCGTGGTGGGTTGTGTGTGAGACCCTGTGTGTGGTGTGCCCGGCAGTGAACCACTACACACCTCACTCACCTGCCAAATTAGTGATTCTTACCAGTAATCTTCCCTCACATTGTTCTATGGAATATATTATATTGGAGGTTTATTTTTATTGTTGTTGCAACGTTGTCAGGTTGGTGTCAGTAAGGTGTGTGGCAGTAAACAGGTTGCCAGGACTGGTTCTGTCAGAAAGGGCCACCTTAACCCCCACCGTTTACCCCCCCCCCCTCACTCTGCCAGGGCCTCTCGTAGTGTATATACGTTAGGAAGAACAGAGAATAAACTCCTGTGTTAGCGCATTAACATGGTTTCCTCTGTATCTTTGGATCTAAAAAAGAAGAAGAAACATTAATGCTCAGTGTGACACCATGGTGTGTTAAGTTATGCTCATGTTTAAGGAAAACTTGTTTTGCTCCTGGGTCTCCCTCTTGAGTTGGGCTTAATGCTCAGCTGCCTCCCCCCATACTTAACCTCACCTATAGGAAGAATAATGCTTCACATATTCCAAACATCCTCCATACTTCCCACATACTGCACATCCTCCATACTTCCCACATCCTCCATACTTCCCACATCCTCCATACTTCCCACATACTCCACATCCTCCATACTTCCCAAATCCTCCATACTTCCCACATACTCCACATCCTCCATACTTCCCACATACTCCACATCCTCCATACTTCCCACATACTCCACATCCTCCATACTTCCCACATACTCCACATCCTCCATACTTCCCACATACTCCATACTTCCCACATACTCCTCCATACATCCTCCATACTTCCCACATACTGCACATCCTCCATACTTCCCACATCCTCCACATCCTCCATACTTCCCACATACTCCACATCCTCCATACTTCCCACATACTTCACATCCTCCATACTTCCCACATTACATCCTCCATACTTCCCACACCATCCTCCACATCCTCCATACTTCCCACATACTTCCCACATCCTCCATACTTCCCACATACTCCACATCCTCCATACTTCCCACATACTCCATACTTCCCACATACTCCACATCCTCCATACTTCCCACATACTGCACATCCTCCATACTTTCCACATCCTCCATACTTCCCACATACTCCACATCCTCCATACTTCCCACATCCTCCATACTTCCCACATACTTCACATCCTCCATACTTCCCACATACTCCACATCCTCCATACTTCCCACATACTCCACATCCTACATCCCACATATTCCATACTTCCCACATACTGCATATCCTCCATACTTCCCACATCCTCCACATCCTCCATACTTCCCACATATTCTTGGACACATTTAACTTTGAAAACGTCTACAACTTAGCTTCATAAAGGCTTCCAGATGGTAAACAAGCTTGGTGAAGAATTCCTAAACTAATATAATGTAGCTGTGTCATAACCTAACCTAGAGGTCCATTTCACAAACTGGACAAAATAACTAATCAGTTCCTGGTCATTTTCACAACTGGGATATATTTTGACAAACTACCGTACTGTTTCTTCTTATTGTATTTAGTGTCTGAATATTACAGTAATTATTTGTGCGCTACTGGGTGTAGTATTTTTATTGTGTGTAGCTATCTGTAAAAGGTTATGCCTCAGATCGTCATAATATACAGTACGGCATGTAGGATACTGCCTTAGATCTTTGTAGTGTTTGTAAAGCCCTTATCATCATGTCAGTTAAAAATCAGCGGTGTTTTTATTGTGCCTTTTTTTTTTATTCCAGGAAGCAGTGCGTGAGTGTGAACGTCGAGTGGTGACGCCCGATGATGCAGACGACCTGAGCCCGATGCCAACACACATAGCCACCAGTAAAACACGACGAGGGGCGATCTCTGCTGAACCCCTCTCAGAAGATGATGCCACTTCTTATGTTAAGAAAGTAAAGTATCAAATCCTTCATGTTTGTCTTTACTTAGTTTGAAAAATATATATAAAATGCTAACATAGAACTTGTAGCCTTCAGTATTGTACAGTTCAAATGTCACTTAGGTAAACTTGGAGTTGAAGTTTGAATTTTTTTTAGCTGGAACTGCTGTGTATTGACCATTTGGTGTGTACTGAATGAAACTGTTGACCTCCAGGTGTTTACTGTGAGTGTTGGCCGTTACTCGTTGCTTCACTTTAATGATAAATATCGTATATTGGATGCATTTCAGGTGGTTCCCAAAGACTACAAGACAATGGCTGCTCTGCAGAAAGCTATTGGAAAGAACGTTCTTTTTGCACACTTGGATGAGAATGAGCGGTCAGATATATTTGATGCAATGTTTCCCGTCAATGCCTTGCCTGGAGAAGTAATTATACAGCAAGGTGATGAGGGAGACAACTTCTACATCATGGACCAAGGGGAGGTTGAGGTAAGAGAAGACTGCTCTAATAAAATGGGTGGATACTTCATTATGTATATGAATATTCTGTTTGTGTATGTATACCTTACAGTCAAAGTTTCCATATAGAGAGCTTCACATTACAGCTCTCTGGTATAGTACAGTTAATTAGAATGTTGATAGAAGAAAAAGAAAGGAGGAATAATTTGCTGTATGTTTTTCTTATTATGTGGGTCTTGTTTACTCCATGGCTGGACTAGAATATTTTCACACCTGCTTCACAGACATTTGGAGGCTGTTATCATATGAAATTACTGTATAGACAGATTTCAAAGTCTTCAGATGTGGCTCAGATGCCACACCTGGAAACCAATTTTGCCACAGTGCTAATTATCTTGCCTTGGTTTGGTCTTGTGCTCCACCAGGGATAATTTTTCCTCCTTCATCTTCTGAGAATTTATTAATCTTACTTGGGTTCGTTGGGGATTTAAACTAATCAGGAATATTGTGTCATAAACTTAGTTTTCAAAATCTACTTAGTATGTATCTTGACCACTACATAATTTATTCAGAACCAAATATAGTACCGGTAGTTACTTCTGTTGTTTTTGTTTTGTATTGTCGAGATAATCCTTGCATATTGTCCCTACATTCTCTGTTATTTTATATACACTGACTACCTCTTTCTTTCTTATTACTTTACTTCTGTAAGTCAACTCCACGTTAAAATATTTAATGATAATACTGTATGTACTTTTTCTCTTCTGTATCCCTTTAGGTTTGAGAAATATTTGTCCTTCAGTAGATTTTTGTGTTCCATATGTATACTGTAATGTGTTTAACTACTTCCGTACATCCACAATAACACAAAAACGCCAAAGATTGCCATTGAAAAATCATAGATGGCATGTAATTAGTATTGCGAATTTAACTAAAATTTTCAGTCATAAGGACGAGTAATTATTCAGTTATCAAATTTGTAACCATAGATCCTCACCCAGCATGTTCAGGAGTACCTACAGTATACCTGTATTGACATTTTTAACATATCAAAATCTCCATGATTACAGAGATTGTCTTTCAGAATAAGAAATTATGAATTTTGGCCAGAGTTTAAATACTGTACTGTACTCTTCTAATTCCTTGCAGATTTTTGTGAATGGTGAACATGTGACAAGCATTATTGATGGGGGGAGCTTTGGTGAACTGGCTCTCATCTATGGTACTCCAAGGCAAGCAACAGTGAAGGCCAAGACAGATACCAAACTCTGGGGTATTGACAGAGATTCATACAGACGGATCCTCATGGGCTCAACAATAAGGAAAAGGAAAATGTATGAGGAATTCTTATCTAAAGTATCCATTCTTGGTGAGTATGCATCTTTTTCCTTGTGAAGTGCTCTCATGATGTAAGGATATGAGCAGTAGTATGTGAATATTTGTACTTCTTATCTTGGCCCTTTCTTGTCAGTTCCCACACTTGCCTTATGCTGTAATTTTTATTATCATCATCTTTGATCCACACCACACAAGCCTTTCTTAACATTTGATACTATGGTAATGTGTTAAAAGAGAAATATTAAATAACCACGTGTAATTATTCTTCAGAATCACTGGACAAGTGGGAGCGTTTGGTGGTGGCCGATGCTCTTGAGACTGTATCCATTGAATCGGGCTCTACAGTTGTACGACAGGGAGAGCCTGGAGATGACTTTTACATCATTGTTGAAGGCACTGCAGTAGTTATGCAGGCTCGTACCCCAGCTGACGAACCTGTAGAAGTTGGCAGACTCGGCACTTCAGACTATTTTGGTAACTCGAGAAAAAGAAAAGTGCATGGTTATATAATGAATAGAAGAGAATGATTGAAACAGTGGTAAATGAAAGGAATCTTGATGATGTTTTTAAGCTAAACATAGTTGAAGGGCAGAGGAGTAATCTACTGGGGACAGATGGAGAGTGTAAATTTAGGAATGTCTGAAGTGGTTGCGAGCAAAGGGTTTAGTAGTTAGGTTAGTGGCTGAAACGTGGAGTTGCTAAAAGTGAGCTATTCTACTGTATAAAAGATGAAGTAAAAAAAAGAGGAGGAAAGAAATTTTTGGAAGACCTGCATAATAGCATTAAAAGATACTCTTGAGAGAAGTATAGTGATAGGAGGATTGAATGTGTGTGTTAGGTGACAGGGAAGTAGATGGAATGCCAAGAGTGAATGGAAATGAGAGCAATTTAAATGTGGATGAAGATCGGTTTGATAATGGTGTTTTAAATGAAGTAATTACATACCTATAGATGGAGGTGTGACAATGGAGAAAGTAAGGGGTTATATGACCAAGTACAATACTGGTTGATTAAAGATAGAAATATAAGCCTTGTGAATGACTTTCTGTTCATTTGTAGATAAGAAAAAGAATGGCTATGAAAATTAATGAGCTTGGGTAGGAGAATATGATGGAAAGATATGAAGTGGTCTTATAAATGAGGATGAAGTAGGAGTTGTAGTTGAATGGGAGCAGTACAGTATAAGAGTCCTGTCCCAGAAGTGTAGAGGTATTCTAACATGTGATATATTTTGCAGGTGAGATAGCTCTTTTACTGGACCGACCTCGAGCTGCCACTGTCATAGCAGATGGGTCCCTGAAGTGTGTCAAATTAGATAGGGCCAGGTAGGTCAGAGATATTTTTGTGTGTCTTGTACTCATATTTTTGTCTTTGGTTTATGTCATAGTTTTCCATGTGCAATTCCTCAGTGAGACACCTGTGATTAAACATAGCTGTGCCATGATACAAAAATGTTCCCTATGAATTGCCAGTGACTCTTTTTGAGGCAACAGTAGACCAATATTGTAATGAAAACAGCTTATATATGGTTATTCTTAACTTTTTGTTTGTTAAAGATTAAACTTCCTCCAGAATTATTCACCTAACTGTTGTCAGAGGTACAAGATGGTTTAGGTAGTATTTAGTTCAGTTTTTATACTCCTAAAAAAGTGGAACATAATGTTTAGGCACTGTATGCGTGTTCACATATCCCTGCACTCATGCATATCATACAGTATTGTATTAAGAACCTTTGGCTGTAGGAAGAGGAAGGTATTTATGGACTATGAGGTCATGGTCATTGTTGCTAAAAGAATTTTAGTTGCCAAACCATAAAGTTTATTGACTTTTTTAATTTCAGGTTTGAGCGTGTTCTTGGTAGCTGTGCAGACATTTTGAAGCGGAACATTGAGCAGTACAATTCATTTATTGCACTAACTGTTTAGATAATAAGTCAGCTGCCACATGGCCCTTGTGTATGCAGTCACGTAGGCTTTTTGTGTGCAACTTCTGAGGCTCACATGTAAGCAACTATTTACGCTCCTGTTCAGGTGCTGAAGTATGCTAACTTGTAGGGCCTTAACACCAATACAGGAATTGGGTTATGAAGGTGTGTACAGGTATGTGGGATTCTTAAGTACTGTAGAGTCTTTTTTCTCCTTTCTTTTTTGCACAGAAAATTTAAACACCTACAATTATTGTAAGGGATTGTACCATCCACCACTAATGAGGGATGGTACCAATAGCCTCTAGTGGGAGGATAGTACCCCCCTACCATAGGTGGAAAGTACTACTTACCACTGGTCATAGATCTATTATTACCCACAAGAAAATTCCCACTTACCACTGGTGAGGAGAGTACCACACACCAGTGGAATGAGGGAAGGTGCCACTTATTCTTGATTAATAAAGGTTTTTACTTTCCACTGGTAAAACAGTACTGCCATTTACCACTGGTAAGAGGATACTATCACCCACCACTGTAAAAAGATAGTACCACCAACCACTATCACTAATAAGGATAGCAACACACCAATAGTGGGGAGTAACAGTAGCATAAATCCTGTTGTAGTGGTCATGGTTCTAGGGGCCATTTTGATATTTAGAAAGCCTGATATTTAAAGCTACATTATTATTCAGATAATTGCAGGATAATGACCAGCTTACTGTAGATGTGAAGCAATGCATTTATCAGGTTAATTTGCTTGAAACAGATGCGAGAGCAAAACTTCAGCTGATGTAGGATGTCTAACAGATTACCTTTATCATGTCTTGGCATTCCATATGACTAAAATTTTAAGTTTAAACAAAACATAAGACATTCTTATTTTTAACTTAAAGTTAATGTTGAAGTACAGTGATCCTTTGGTAATGAAGATAATAATGATAAGGAACTTTAATTTTCCATTTGTATAGATGTGTCTACTGAATGATGTTTTATTATAAATACTTTTACTTTCAGTACAGAAGAGAAACGCTGCTCATTTGATATACTGTATAAAACTTGTTAAAAAGAAAATGTTCAAGAAACTGTACTTTTGCACACAAATTCATTTACTTAAGATGTCATGAACTGCCAGGTACATGATAGGTAATGAATCTGATATAGACCCATTTAGGTTATGTAGTTCCAGTAATTTTCATATTGTTTGGATAACCATAGAGATTCAGCTTAAAAACACAACCAAATATAATACTTGTCTTAATTTAAAGAAATAAAAGAACATAGAAATGATTGTTCTTTAAGACAGCTTTTTTAGTAAAAGTGATGAAAGACTGATCTTAAATCTTAAATAGATCCATGAAGATTTGCATTATTGTATTTGTATTTTGTATATATATCTGAAGCAGTTTTGATTATCCAATACTGCAAGCATGTTGAAAACTTGTACAGTTTAGAAAACTTTCTTTGGTATTTGTAGTTCATTGGTTGAGGTTTGATCATATCTAAAGAAAACTTCACACACTGACAGAGTAAATGGGATTTATTTTTATTTTATGTTTAGCAGTGGAGGTGTTTCACCTCAGCTCATCCACCTGCATTCTTATTTAATCCCATGTAAGTTTGAATTAAACTGAACCATTATTCTCTGTCTTAAAAGTAAAATAACTTATTGGATAATTTCATATAGGTATATGCAAATAGTAAATTCAGGGGTAAAGCTTATTTATCTGATGATTTATTTATGCTTTTTGTGTGGGGGTCATCTGTATATAAATCTTGACGGAATTAAACTTAACAGTAGTACAGTATGTCCCACTTTAACAATGATGATCACAATTATTGCCACATGTACCATTAATACTGAAATATGTTTTCAGTCAAAGAACTCGCATGTCATTCAGTTGTGTAAGCATTCTAAAACTATAAACTTGAATTGACTGCAGGTACAACAGTTATTGCAGATTAAGAATGCACATATTAGATTAGATTATGACTTGGATTGTCCTGTTTGTTAATATCACAGCTTTTTCTACTGTGGAGTTTTATGGAGATCTGTCTCAATACGAAGCAAGTTTTTAGCTCTCTCTTCTCTGTTTATCCATTGGTGTATTGTGACATTTTGTGTAATCTGCTTGATTGCTTAATTTAAGTATAGAGTCAACTCTTCTAAATAGTAAAGAACTCATTAATGAATATATTATGCCAAAGGCTTGTTGTAGATATGTTTGAGTTATACAATCATTTTCTAGTACAGTATTTAATCCAAAGCTATTTTTCCATTCTCTGTTGTTTATATATGAGGTAGTTCTACACTTCAGTATGGATCATAAAATCATTTCTTTAATTTCTAATTTATGCTTATATGATTAATTCTATAATGAGATCGATATGAGTAGCAAGTACTGAGCCTGGAAGCATGAGCTTATAGATATAAACAATATTATTATTCAGACTATATTATCTGTAGAAATGATGTTAAAAAGTATATAAACAAAATTTGAACTGTTAATAGATTTTATTTTACTTTTGATAAGCATGGTGAATCTGCCAAAGAAAGTTTTGATGTATTATAACATAAATTGTAATATATCTTGTGGTGATCTGATCTTAGTTTTAAAGCACTAAAGCCCATATATCAAGTTTTATGGGAAGAAAATCATATAGTTGTATAATTTTCTCTCCATTTATTTCCCTGCTGAGTCATATTGAATGTCAGTGTTGCTGAACTTTAAAGTGTAAACACCTCAAAATTTCTTACAAAGCTGGGAATAATCTTTGGCCAACTTTATTATGGGCCAATGAGGTCAGAATATGTAGACTGTACCTGAACTATAATGGGAACAAGCAGTGTGTAACTTCACATCTTTAGACATTCAAAGCACATAAATTTTAAAACTGATGCTCCTGCAAATTGTTAATCTCTAATTATATATATATATATATATATATATATATATATATATATATATATATATATATATATATATATATATATATATATATATATATATATATATATATATATATATATAATCACAAAGAATGCGGTGTTTAATATTCAAAATATTCATTAAATTATGTGAAATTTGCAAAATTGTCACAAGTATAATATTGAATCAAGTTATAGGTATTGCTCGGGAATAAAGGTAAAAAAAAAAATTAGCAGTAGTCTGTGGGAGATGCATTATTGTTAGCTATTATAAAATGATCTAATAAATTCTGTGCTACAGCTTTTTGAATCACTTAGAAGTAGTATAATAGACAAGAATTATTACCCTTACCTGAGTGTACCCTTCCTGCATCCCCCTGCTGGGAAGGTGGATGCATAGAGTAGTGGCCGCTTGTGTCCTCATCTTTTAGTAGGAGAGAGTGGAGGCCAAGAATTGTTGCCAGGTGTAGGGAGTCTGTATTTTCCTCAAGTAGTCAATTTGAACATAATGAATACTTGTCATTGTTTTTTGTTTTTTGCCCAATGAATATAGTTTCAATAATCATTTGAGGTTTGCCAGAAGTAATCTAGGCATATCTGAGAATATTTTATTTATACAATAGGTGAAATGCATAGTTATTTATGTAAAAAAAACATTTAAATAAAGGACAGTGGTATGTATAGCAAGATTAAAATGGAATAAATGAATTTTTATGTGCTATTCATAAAGTCAGTTAAAAATATTAGTCATATGAAAGGCAGATTTAAATGTAACATACATGTCTGGTTTTATAATGTTATTTACTGGAACTGACGTAGAGTTCTTGCCTAGATTCAAAGCTGCCTTACATTGATAATGAATCTTTCTACTTTATTTGTCTACCACCTGTTTTTATAATGTTATATAATGTAAATGTGTTTTGATATATAGAATGGAATCAGCTGACTAGTACAGCATGTTTTTCAAGTACATCAAATTGAACCGTGTTTTTTCACCCGTGTTCGAAAATATTTCAAGTCACTATAATGTTGCCTTACTTGTGCTAATTTGTGATTGAAATTTTAAGTTGACTTGCATAAACACTGGCACACTCTTCCCCGCCACTCCTCCTCAGAAGCACACCCCTACAGGCTCCCTTTCCTCCTAACTGCTCCTGGTGAGCAGTAGGGGGCTTCTGCAGCCAGTATGTGCACAAAGTTTTTATGGCAAGAACTACTGAACTGTTCTTTCCCTTTTGAGTGTGTGTGCATGTAATAGTTCCAAGCTAAACTTCAGTCATGCATTTAAAATTGAGTTCAGTACTGAAATTGGGTTCACTTTATTGCCTACCATCAAAACTAGTGAGGTCAAAATAACAAAGGATGAGGCCGTTGGAAGATAAATGGTTCACATATAGAAAAAATCTTCACTATGACCTAGTCCTTTAACAGTACCCTTAGTTTACAGTATATCTTGTGTTTATATGAGAAAGTAAATAGTTTATGTAATTTCAATTTTATTTAATCTTGTGCTTTTGTATAAATTATTTATATTCAAGTATAACTTCTCTTAGTACCATTGTTAACAAAAATGTTGTACTGTACTTTAAAGTACAAAATATAAGTGGGATATGATGGTTTGCTCTTGTTATGATTATGTCACTGTAGCAATGGTTAACAGTCATGATTTTTTTTAATATGTGGTGTTGTGATAGGTGCATGAAGATGCACCTTGGTTTCAAAATATGAGTAATGACAGTATAAATCATAATTTACTTAGGCTGTATTTTCTTAGTCGAAGTAGAGGAATTATATTCAATTTTATCTCCCATTAAATTTTGTGAGCAAATTGGGTTGTCAATATCAGTACAAGGTGAAGAGGAATGTTTTTTACCTGGTACACTAACTGAATCTACTTGTACCGTACATTTCATTAAAGGTTTAATCACCTTGATTGTCACTAAACAAATGTTCAGTGGTATATCTAAAATGCAGTATGTAGAAAAGTCCTCAATCATCTTTGTAGCTAGAGGCTAGGAAATGGCAGATGCACGTGGAAAGATTACATTTACTAATTTCCCAGAAGGTGATTAAATTTCACACTAGTTGTAGGAGCAAGGTGATGGGTTCGAGGTTGTGTGACTTTTCCAGAACATAATTTTGAAACCTCTTTGGCTAGTATATCAGGGTTTAACAACAAGGAATAATACTGTAATTACTATCTAATGGTCTGAGAGCAGTAATAATCTATGTATGTTGACATGCATAGTATTGTTAAGTCAGTCAGTAATGATTCATTGTTTACGTATTGTATATATATGTTATTACACGAAAGTTTTTTCCCAAGACAGATTTTAATATTAACAAATATCAATATTTACCTAACAGTGCCAAACAGAAACCACTAACTCCTTTTAAAGCACCACAAATTATCACAAAAACATTAAGAAGTAAATAATGAAAGTATATAGGTTCTTTTCTTTAAAGTAGGCTTGTGTCTTAATTTATGCTGCCAAATAAAGTTTGAGGTATGAACAATATTTTTTTATTAACCTAAATTTAATCTATATATGATACTTCAAAAGATCAAATGGGCAAAACCTATTTGCTTGTAAATATGCTTCCAAGGGTACAGTAAGTGTTTTTTTCAGTTTCCATATTGTTCAGTTTTGACATCAGTGCAATGTACTGACACATTATCTGTGGGTTTTTTGGCAAAAAGGTCACCATGGGGGTTAGCCTTACCGTCCAGCAGCCATAATTTCAGATATTTTTACCTCAAAATCTTTTAATAAGTACTAAAGTACTGTACTCTTATAATTTCCAATTCAGAGAGAAACGGGTTTTTCAGCCAAAAGGTCGACAAGTGGTTACCTTTATTTTCCAAGCAGCCGTAATCTAAAAAATTTGGCTTTGCTGAACAGCAGAAGTTTGTCACGAGCTAACCTGCATGATGAGGCAGAATATCTGATAACACTGTAAGGGAAAGAGTTGATAGATACTACAGTATACTTAAAAATACATTTCTTGTACATAGTTTAATCATTATCAATTTGTAAAATGTGAGAAAATAATGTTATTGAGATATATGACATTGTTGCTGGATGATTCATAGCAAAGGAACTAGGCCATCCAGAGATACGAGCACAGTATATGATTGTTCGTAATGCTGATGCCAACGAGTATTTTTCATGCTTATTGACACATTCATTATAAAACGGTCGTATAATTCTCAATAACATTATTTTACCATATTTTACACATTGATAATAATTCAGTTATACACAGATATCGCCCAATCTGGCATGATCCGTGAAACAGTGCCGATGTATTATGACCACTTTCTTATTTGCGATGTGAACAAACCCGCATTAGTGATATTTGTCATCCCGCCAAATCGGAATGTGGAACGCATCACTCGGTGCAGTTGTAATCTGTGGCATCATCTACCTGGACGCCACCTCGTGGTCATCTGGTAAACTACAGTCCAGCCATTGCTTCTCTTAGTCACCTGAGTGTAAGACCCATAGCCCAACGTTTATTGGTCGTCATCAGTGTTTTATTTATCATGTGTTTTTCTTTTACCTTACAGAGAGAAGACATTACTAAAGTTCACACTGTACTCTGTTTTAGTGAGTGTGAAGTACTTACCCTGTTTAAGTTAGTGTGAAGTACTTTCCCTATAAGTGAATGTGAAGTGCTTTTGCTCTGATCCCCTACCCCGACAATGGGTGACCTGACATTGCATCAGAAGGTCAGTACTATGAGACCACTAATCCTCCACCCCCACCTCCATTGCAAGTGATTACATTTATGAATTACATTCAGCAACGGACAGTGTCTGCCTGCTTTAGGTTCAAGATGACAGCGTCTGCTGGTGAGTACAGTATAGTAGTAGTATACATTATTTACAATATTTACTGTATGTGGACAGTGGTGTTTGCATAAATTAATGCAGGTCCATGCGGGATGCATCGTTTATACTCTGGTTCCGTTCATGGGGCGCCTCACTCACATACAGATTTGTACTTTTTTTAATATACTTATTTTGACAACCTTTTAGATAAACTATTCAGGATTATTTTAGTAAAAAAAAATGGTATTTCTAACCTAATTAGAATGGCTTTTACAGACTGGTATCAACATTTATTCATAAAAGAATTGAATCCCCATCATTATTGTGTTTTTGTGACTGTGAAGTGAGCAGCGTAACTTTGAAAATATCTGGGCAGTTCCAGGCATCCAGGAAAACCTTGTCTCTAGAGGTGAAGCTTGACATTGGGAAGCAACACGAGATGCCCGAAAGGCTGTGTGGGAGCCAGAGAGAGATCACCACTTCACCTTAAGAGTCCCGTTAGCCTCGAAGGGGACATGTGATGACCAGACTTGTTCATTATGATGTGGTGAGTGTTGCTTAATTTTTTTGTAATGGTGGTGGTAGTAGTGTAGATTTTTTTTTCAGTGATACATGTGGGTGTGTAACTGGCCAGGAACTTATTCCATTAAACCCTAGCTATAATACTCCCGGTCTACGATATTTTGACCTGCGATGGGTTTTTCAGGAACCTAACCCAATAGCAGACCTGAGGATACCTGTACTGTACTAGAAATGTATTTTTGGGCAATCTCCGACCATAAATCTTCAATAACTAGCCATTAAAACCATATCTATCAATTCTTCCCCAAGCAGTGTTATCAGATCACCTGCCTCATATCATGCAAGTTAGCTTGGGATGAACTTCTGCTATTGACTGTGCTATGGGCTAAACACAACTGATTTCTGCTCAAACATGGATGTTAACCCAAAGTTAATGCAAGTCTCTTACAGTTACTTTAAGTTCACTGAAATGTGTTTATTTGCCTCGATCTTGAACGTGAAGAGGCAACCAAGAAGAATTACAGCCTAAGTCGTGTGAGCTTCATCAAGAAGGTTTAGATGTGCATTTGATTGGGCAATAGATAAGGAACTTCCTAATGCATGAGTGGGAGGATTTGTGCACATTAAATGTTTGCAGATGCGCAGGGTGAGTTACATATCAACAATGAATATTAAGTGTTCTCTATGGCCTCCAATAATGATGTTATAAATTATGATGGATACTGTACACAAAAAACTAAAACATTTGAAACTTCAATTATTTTGTTTATTATTCAAAGCGATACCAACTTGTGAAAAAAGGGGGGGGGGTAATTATTACAGTATTGCATTAACATAATATATTATGAAGTACTGTATTAACAAACCAATTCAGAAAGATTTATGTCCATTATGTTTAGACACAGCACTGTATTAGATTGTAATTAACACTACCCAATGTCACTTTGTATTAAAGATGAATTTATAACATTTAAATATTTAATAATACATATTAATTATGTATCTAATAATTACTGGATAATATTTCAATTATGTGTTTTTCACATAAAAGAATTTTAATGAATAAAAACAATTTCTGTTGGGATATGACTCAAATAAATTAATTTTGAATTCTTACCTTAAAACTAAAACATTTGCAAACACTAGTTTTACCCTTTAATCAGTGACTCTCACCCTTCTTCCCAGTGACACGCTTAAAGTCAGACATTTTTGTGGTTTGCACAGGCGAGCCAATTATCTGAATATAAGAGATGTGAGTTGTCTCTGCATCCGTTTGATTGTTCTTGACAAATATTGTCAGGTTCATCACATTCTGTAGCTTCACATACTTGAGAGGAAGCAGTTCACCATCTAAATCCTTTGTAGTTAACCTGTGAACAAATAAACATAAAAGGATATTAAAAAAAATGGCATGACCCAAATTTGCTCTTAGTGAAGTACTTCCATTTCTTCAAGCTAATTTCTAATATGTACTGTATAATGAAAGTTGACAAGAAGCAATCTTAGCAAGCTAGGCTTTTAGTTATTACAAAACATTAATGAAGGCCCTTTGTAAAAATGCCAGAATGAAGAACTAATCCTGAACAAAAACTCTTGATATGACTGGGGTTTTTTTTAGAACTTTAAGTTTTACCTCTGCTGTATTAGTGAAAATAATAAAATATCCATAAATTTCTTTTAATTCACCTTTCATCAGGCCTTTGACAGGAGAAAATTAACAACCATTCCTTTAAAAATGCACTCTACAAGCTACACTCTGCCCAGAATCACAGCCAGAGCAGAATCCTCCTGTGCATTATGAATAAAATTACTTACGTTAACTCCTGAACAGCATTGGCACACTCAGCTGAGTCAAAATCAATAGTATGAGGTTGATTGATAAACAACCTCATGATCTTGGGTCCATTTTCTGCTGGTCCCTTAATTCTCATACTGTGTAATTTCACAGCTTGGTTGAAAGACAGGTACAATATTAACTGGAAAATAAATAGCCAATGTTAAAATGAGTTGTGATTGTGAAATAAATGCACCCCATTAATGCAATATATGTGCATAGATACGGTAGTAATGATATGTACCCAATGAAGAATAATAGATATTCAACATCATAAAAATCTTATATGGTCCCCCATTGTGTAAACAAATAAGCTAACAAAATTGCAATTACAGTAATGGAATTAGCCAAAAGAAGGTGATGGAGTAGGAAATAATGTGGAAATCTTTTATACATAACACTTGATAAGGTATTGTGCAGTGAAGAATACTAAAAGAATAGTGGAGATCAACAGCAGAGTGGTATGGTGTCTGAAAACCATGGACTTGGTGATGTGGGTGGGGGGGGGGAAATAATTTTAATTTGCATATACAAGCTGACACCATTATCTACCAGGGAGGAGCAAGGATGGTCATAACAGTGAGGTAGTGTACAGGAGGATATAAACATGAGTGTTTGCATGTAAAAACAAAACAAAGGAATTATGTACAATATATACAGGGGATACTGGAGTGCAGTTATGGTCTGGGAAGAGCAGCTTCAATAGAGACAAGAGAAGCTGTAGGCCATAGAGAACAACAAAGCCCAAACAATATGTGGAGTAAAGAGTAAGGCAAGGAAGGGGTTCATGGAGATAAAGGAGGAAGTCAAGATGAATTTTTTTTTAAAAAGACACCTTAGCTGGTAGTAAGTTGAGGTAGGCAAGACATGTGCAGGGGGAAAGATCAGCAAGGAGAGTGAAGGAGGTGGTGGAGAGCAGAAAGAGGAGAGGTACACTAACATCAAGATGGATAGACGGTGGTAAGAAAACTAGAAAGAGCAGAGGGTGGAAACCCGAGTCTCTAAAAAGAAAAAAGTTGCAAAGTTACCTGTTCATCTGTGTCTGATTCAAGATAACCACCTGCTGAACTTAATGCCTGAGTAAAGGGATGATCATCACTTTCATTTAGACATTCACAACCAGCCTTGTTAATCATTGGCATTAAGTCAATCTGCAAGGTAATAGAAAAAATATAAATTAATAAATTATGGGAACTCCTCTGATTGTGATTTGTTCTTGCCAAAATACCATGGTATTGTATTTGTTAATGTTCTATGGGGCCAAATTTTATTTTTTCTAAAAATTAAAAGCTATCTACTGGTACTTTAACATGTTATTTGCTTGTTAGTTCACTGGTGTACTAAATATGGTACTGTACAGTACTTCATTATTGCATGTTGGTATACCAGTGGCCACCATGCATTCAGTATACAGGTGGAACCATGCACTAGAAAAGGCTGTACAGTATTTATTATTGTGTTTTGTGTTGGGACACTGGTGTGACACTACTTTCACTGTGTCAAGACCATATTAGCCTAGAGACACTCTACTCACCTCCTTTCACTATGATATCTTGAGGCGTACAGTACTGAAGTGGTTCTGTAGAGACAGAAACTCGAGGTTGGGGGGAACCCGCCCGTTGCCATAACATGGACAACGTGTTAAATGATTCAACAGTTTGCTTATCAAAAAATAAATAAATAAATGTACCGGTATTATTAAATGATATTTAAAACATACAAGAATCAAGTAGCCAGTAATTTTACTGTACAAGGAAATCTTTCTTTCAGTAGTTGCTAATACACTATTAAATTTTTTCCCTCCTAAGATACCCCTTCCAATGCCTCTTGGTCTCACATTTCATATATGGTAGAGAATAGTGGATCTAGCATATGACACAAAGGATGGGGGAGCATCGAGGCCTGGCACCAGGGTGGACTCTCCACTGCAGTGTTTTTTCAAGCCTTTCTAATTTCTATCTAGTATTTCTGTACACTATAATATATATAATATATTTTTTTAACTAAAACTTTGACCTGTACATTAAAGGTATTTAGCTATGTGTCTCAGGGGTTTTACCTTCCATAACTCCACATTTCCCATTAGACAGCCCAAATAAACCACGAGAGAAGTCTAGAACATAACCCCCCGTACAGTAAGTGGTGAGGGATTACTTTTCTGTTGTGATACCTTTCATATGTTAGAGTTCCTAGCTGATGCTGGGGGCCACAGCACCTTTATATGGCTGATTAGTATTACACAAGGGAAAGGAACTAATTACTTACATGTCCAGGCACGCCAGAATCTTCAACTTCCTCACCCTCTCCATCACCATAATGTTGACGAATTCGTGCCTCCAAAGTTTCTGGGTCTGCTCCTTGTAAGCTATCAAGCTTGGTCTGAAAGCATGGATAATAAAATAAATGGTCCCATCATGTGACCTAACTGAAAACTTGGATCAAAATGACCACTATCTTAACCCGAGTCTCCAGTTCATAGCCAGGTAGTGCAAGTCAATTTGAGATGCCCTGGATTTCCCTACACAGTTGAACTAACTATTCAAATATTCTCCCAAGTGGCAGGCACCTTTTGAGGTCATGAAGGGAAGAAATTTATATACTGTACTCCAAACATCAAATGCCTCTGCCATACCCGATGGACAGGGAGAACTGGGGCCATCAAGGCAATGACAAATATTTCCCGAGATCTGGTGGACTTTAAGCCTTTACGGAAAGATTCCAGGCCTTCTTTGGCTTTCGTCTTACAGTGTGTGATTTGTCCGCTATTGAGCAGGTGTCCACCACACTTCAGGGTAAGAGTATTACTGCAGAGGATGCCATGCAGGCAGCGGCAAGAAATACTTGGAGCATCAGCAACAAGGAAAATATATCTTCCTTGATCAGCAAGCAGAGAAAAATATCCATACATCATAACACATAAGACATTAGTATGTAATGTTCTGGAATGTTAGCACGCTTGGAGAAATTTATCCTTCATCGTGAAAAAAAAAGTAAAGTAACACAGAAACTGACCTTATTTCTGTAGAATATAAATGTTGGAGTGGCTGACACTCCCTGGGATGAAGCAGCAGCTGCACACTGATTAACATCAATCTTCAAGAACATACCATTTGGAAATCTTGCTGCCATCTCCTCAAACAGGGGTGCTATGCGTTGGCACGGGCCACATCTGAATAATTAACAGATACTGTAATGTAGCTCAATATGTAACATAGCAATAAGTGAGGGGGAGAGGTAATAGGAGGAAGAGGAAAAGAGATGTCTTCAGAGGAACAGAATACAATAAGAATTATGACTCAAATTACATCCTGATTACCCGGACCCCCTGCAATATTAAAAGTAAAATACTTATTTTGATATCTAGTACCAATAAAGGCAACTTTGTTGAAGCATCATGGTGTAATTTTACATTTTGTAGATGTGAGAGTAAGCTCGGACCGAGCAGGTCGGTTGTAAACTTATGAAATGCGGTGACTCGGCAGATTTTTAGGAGGAGTATTTACTGTAATCACGTACAATACACATAGAGACATAATTTTAATGTCCCATGATCACTTTTTCACCGTGTTTTACCCTGCAATTTCCCTCATCCTTCATGCCCTGCCCACTACAGGTGATTTATGATCACAAAGAAAAACTTAAATGTATAAATACAATTCTTATAATTAATATAAAAAGTTGTCGCCTCTTTTAAAATACTTACTATAATGATAAGAACACCCGAAGAAAAAATGAACGAAATCGAACAACTTTTGGTAGTAGCGGTTCCCTTATAAATTACCCCCAAAATTTCTACTTACATAAATGATTAGAAGATACAAACATACAACACGTATTATAAAAATGGCAAAAATACCTTTGATATAAAATAAGTTTTTTCACATAAACTCATGCAATTAGGGAGGAAATAATACTGAGTTACCAAACTATCAATGGACCTTTCCTTACACTGTCATCCACAGGTTAGGTTAGGTAGGTTACTTGGCTTCATTTTACAAATGATAAATTATATAATGTAGCTGCATCTGGAACTTGACCAGATATGTCCTCAAGTTCCTGGTTAAGGCACACAACAGGGGTACACAATTAACTTACCATTAAGCCGCACCAGGTTGAAACAGACCACTGTACACCTACATTAAGTCCCTCGAAATCTTTCCCAAATAAGGCTTCATGCAACCTCAGTAACCTCTCTCAGTAGAGCTTCACAAGGACTCTCATGCATTATAAATATGATATGGATGACTGACTCTTCATAACCCTAACTGTTATTTAATATTATCCTTAATTTATACATGTGATGATGCATGACATGACCGAGTGTATGGCCTGTCGACCTCCAGACTTCACATCACGAGTCTCCCTTAATTGTCTTACCTCGCTGAAGTAAAATCCGCGACCACAAGTTTACCTCCTGCCTGGTTTAGTTCGGCTTGAAATTGAGCATCTTCAGTTAATACTTTAAAATTGCCAGCCATTATTCCGAAAGTTGAACTGGAGTGTTGGTGAAGGGTAGAGTAGTGGACCAGACTGAGCCAAGGCACCACACACCAGGCGCCGCACCACTAACACCATCAGTGCCAGACACCACTACCTCATACACCATCGCCTCTTAAGCTTTACATTAACATTACTTAGCTACCCACATGTACATTCACATTAATATTACACAGGTACTATCAGATACATTTACATTGGTTTATCCTGTACACACACACGTTGTCTGTATACAAACACTGGTAAACATTAAACACGAGTCAAGGAACACGGAACCTCTCCCAGCTGGTGACGTCACAACTCACCAGCAACAACAGCATGCATGTTGACCGCTTGCTCAGTTTGTTGGTGTTTATCACAAATTAAAAACATGGGTGATATAAATTTCCATGGTTTTCCGAACGATAAAGAACTGAGAAGAAGATAGACTCACTTGTGCAAGAGGAAAGACTTTATAATTGCTGAAAATACCCAAATATGCAGCTTGCTTTTTGAGGCCAGCCCAGCGCGATTGTGGAAAACTTTAAATATAAACTGCCTGGACTACCAGTACCAGGAAGACTTGTAAGGATTAAGAATAGGCCAATACCATCATGACAACTGCCGTGTAAGTAAGCCTATATTATTTTAACTACATCAAAAAAGTGTTATAACACGATGCTGGCTAATGTGTTAAAAATTAAACGTCCCAAAACAATTTAAAATACGTAGCTTTTATATATTTCAAAGAAGCAGCAAAACACTACAGTATACACAGCTTTTTTGAAGGAGTGTCAGTTTTACTTTCTTCATTGACAAGTTTTTAAATGACAGTTATCATTAGATAAGAGCACTGAAGTTGAGTGTTGGAGGGAGGTGTAAGCTGCCGCGCGGGAAGCAACAAATATGTTAGCAGAGATATTGTTTATATGCTTATATTATAGACCTTAAGAGATATCACTCACATGGTCATTGTTTCCAGAGGACTTTGAAATGTGGAGCTACAGGGTAATACTGAAGACAAGTCATTCTTTATAAAGAAAAATAAAAGTACCAAGATTGACAACAACGGGAGTAATATTGGAAATTTATAAAATAAGACAAATTAATGACTTTGGCTGTATAATTAGGCTTGAAGGGACCATGCTTGAAAAGTTAACAGTGGAAAATGTAAACTCCTTTGCGGTGAAAAAAATAAAAGCTGTCGAAGTAAGTAAAGAAATCCCAACTTTTTTAAATGCGATCATACTGATGTCCGGTTACCAGTTAGGTGTTATTTCTCGTGAGTGTTTCTTTCCCGTCTGTGTAGATGAATCTAGAGTCTTTTCTCAGGATAAAGCAAATATGGATGTTTACATTTGTCTGTCAAAGCAAAACAAAAGAACATCGGAACACTTTAATAATAAAGCTATAATACTTTTATTAGTATACACAGTCCTACTAAAGAAAGTATGTATGCCTCTTCACGAGTATATTTCGAGAGTTATAAAAGAACTCATTGCTTGTCATGATCTGTGTTTCGTAAAATAATTTTAGGTTATCGAACTAATATAGTTTGTTTTCCTGAGAATCTCGTGTCTGATTTAATTTCAGCCATAAAGCATTTGGAATACAATTTATGATAAAAATAAATGTGCATGGTTCATTTATTTATTTACTTTGAAAAGTGACTGATTTAAGTTTGTCAAATATATAAATGATAAGAAAATGCCATCTAAGCAAACCAATTATATTGTCACGAAGACAAGTTATAAATAAAATTACAGCATTGTTGTACCTGCAATGTTTTGGTGCATTGCATACATGCAGTGTTTATGTAATGTACAGTCGGGGTCAAAAGTCTTGAACACTTGACAGTATTTGGCATGTAAGTACCCGAAGATCTTAGGTATTAAGGAAAGTTTTGTAGTGGCTCCTCTCCCAATCCCATTTTGTGGTTCAGGCAATTAGTGTTATTAGTATATCCCAATCATATATGTATAACTCAGAACTTCAGAAGTACATGCCAGACATTGCTAAGTGGACTTTTGACCCCGACTGTACCTTACATACTGATTACTGAATCAATGTGAACTTACACATTGACATTACTCAGAAGGGTCACCTATAGTGGGTGGCCATAAGCTATATAAGGTAAATAATACTAGTTCGATACAACACAAGGATAAGATACTGTTTTTAGTTCTTGATTATATGCTGACACATTATGACGTCATTTAATCCACTCGAATCCGGTGCTGAAGTTCCCTAGACCAGAAGGCCCCGAGGTGAAGAAAGATGTTCCCTAATGCATAAACGTTTTTAACACAGCTGTATATATATATTTATTTATGACAGTATGACTAGTTTAAATAAATTCTATATTATTACAAAATAGTTTAGCATAATATATAGGCCATTAAATCACGTTTTAGCCTCATTAATAGAGGGTAAAATGCGATAAGAGTAAAGGAACTGCGCCCGCTCAGAAACCAGAATATTAGGAAACAAACAAATTTACCTGGTGGCGAGGCTGTCACCTTTGCCAGTTATAAATTATACACATCTACAGTACCACGTTACCTGTGTTTGGGAAACAGCAGATGCAGGTATGTGCTTATTTTAATTCTAGTAACTAATTTTATAAAGTTAATAAAGCAGCAAAAGCAAATATACGGCTAGTGTCCGTCAGTGGTTAAATAATTATGATTGTTTTTAAGAGTTTTGGTAAAACTGCAGTTTTAGACAATACCCCTAGTAGTTGAGCAATTTGCTTTTCTGGTTGTTTAGACAATTTTAAGACACTTCTATGGTGATTCCGGTATATTTAAGAAATTTGCGAGGGATACATTATAAAAGAAGTGTCATAAAATTCTCTAAACAATCGGAAAAACACATTGCTCAACTACTAGGGGTATTGTCCAAAACTGCAGTTATACCCCAGTTTTGTACACTGATTATTATTTTCCTTCTATTCATTTTCTTGTGCAAATGCTTAGTTTTCTAGATATAGTTGAGTTAAAATATAGGTTAGGTCAGGTCAGGTTAGGTTTTCATAGGTTTGGTTAGGTTAGCACATGATTTCACCCATTTTAATATTTTTCCCCAACATAATACAGTATTCCCAAATATAATCAGTGAAAATTGGGGGTGAAATTTCAGTCATTCACCGGTCTTTCTCTCACTGTTATTAATATGTTTTTCATGTTTTGACAATTCTAAGACTTTTTTTCTATAGTATTTCCGCTGGAAATTAAGGATAACCGAGATATTAATTTTTCAATATTATTAGATTTGGTCAGTTACAAGTGTCGCCATTTGTTGTTTACATCTCACAGAGAAGGTCTGACCACCCATTATGCAGTGCTCCTTACCTCCGTGTTGGCTTCTTAAGCGTCTACAGCACATGTGCGGGGGGTGGTGTGGGAGTTTCTTATTGGCTATAGCGATAGGAGACTTATAATTGGGCAAGAGTTTTTTTGTCTTAGCCAATGAACAATACGGGGATGCGTCGGGAGTCGAGATTTGATTTTTCAATACCAGAATAACCAGATATGGCTGAACAGGTGGAAAGCGGTCCAACGAATTACCCAAAAGTACATTAAATCAGGGTAAAATCTTAACGAATATATGTTTTACATCAATAAAACCTGATTAATAATGTTTTCATTAAAATGTAGTCAAAATAATGAAATAATAAACAGCGAAAAACGCTAAATTCCAAAGAGTCGCCTATCCAAAATGGAGATATAATTACCGATGTTTCCGTTTACTTTTTTACTTTTATCCTCTTCGCCACTGATCGGCTTGTTAGCCGCTTGGGCGATCGGTCACGTCTCTTTTCCTTTATATTCTTCACCAAAAGGTCGGCTCGCTAGCCGCCCGGGCGATCGGTCACGTCTCTGTCACGCACTGTTGGCAAATACTGGGCATGCACCGGCTCCTGAATGTACCTGAACCCGCTCCAGTGTTGGTCAAGTCTTCCCTTGAAAGAGCTCACACTCGGTGCCGTCACAACACTGTCTGGTAGATTGTTCCAAGAGTTTACAACCCTCACTCCGAAAAAGTTTGCCCTCACGGTTTTCCGGACTTGCGGCTTCTTCAATCTTGAGCTGTGACCCCTTGTGGGGCGAGCGTCCGCCAGCTCCAAGTAAGGACACTCAACTGAGTAGTGCCCCCTGAGATGCTTATAAACCTCAACTAGGTCCCCCCTTGCCCGTCTGTAGTATAAGCTAGGCAAGTTCAGGCGCTCCAATCTCTCAGGGTAGCTGAGATGCCGAAGTGCAGGCACCAGTTTGGTGGCCCTCCTTTGAACATTTTCAACCAACTGACAGTCCCTAGCATATCTTGGGGACCAGATGGGGTGACAGTACTCCAGATGGGGAAGCACTTCACTCCTGAAGATCGTCACGAGGGACGGACCGTCTAGATATCTGAACGACCTTCTTATAAGACCCAATAATTTATTTGCCTGATTTACCTTCTTCTCACAATGGCCCAAGAACTTCAGCTCATTGTCAACATACACACCTAGGTCCTTCTCACACACAGTCTCAACTAGTACATTTTCTTCATCCCGTTGGGACATATGGTACGCCTCCTTACCGTTGGTACGCCCCAGGTGCATCCTCTTACACTTCGTGACATTGAATCTCAGCAGCCATTCCTTCGACCATTCCTGGAGCCCACAGAGGTCCTTCTGCAGCTCTTCACAGTCCGCTTGGTTCTTAATTTCCCGAAATAACTTGGCGTCATCGGCAAACATTTGTATGGAGGAGTGTACAACGTCAGGCATATCATTTATGAAACAAACAAACAACAGCGGGCCCAATACACTACCCTGCGGTACCCCACTTGTTACAGGTACAGATGACGATTTCGTGCCATTAATCACCACACATTGCTTGCGGTCATGTAGAAAGTCTTCTATCCACGCTAGGACATTTCCCCGAATTCCGTACCCTTCCAGTTTGATTTTCAGCCTTTCGTGGGGTACACTGTCGAAAGCCTTGGCAAAATCTAGGTAAATATTGTCGATATTACCACCCCGTTCTAGAATATGGGTCCAAATATCCAATACCTTGAGCAATTGTGTCAAGCAAGAGCGCCCCGGCATAAAACCGTGTTGGCAATCTTTTACAAGGTTGTTTCGTAGTAGATGTTCCATCGCTGCATCTCTGATAATACTCTCAAGTACTTTACATATTATGCTGGTCAGGCTCACCGGTCTATAGTTGTTCGTGGAGTGCCTATCGCCCTTCTTGAAGATAGGACTCACATAAGCCACTTTCCATTCACTGGGGACCATTTGTTCATCCAGGCATTTACAAAACAGAATCTTCAGGGGCTCTGCAAGCTCGTTGCACAGCTCCCTTAGCACTCTAGGATGCACCATGTCAGGTCCAGGACTCTTATGGACCTTTAGCCTGGACAGTTTATTTCTAATACCCTCTTCTGTGAACACAATGTGGGTCAGTGCTGTGTCGAACCGTCTGTCCTCAAACGCAGGAAGGTTAGTTGCATCCTCTCTTGTGAACACTGAGGAAAAGAAGCTGTTCAATGCCTCAGCTTTATCCTGGTCAGAATCTGCGTAACTACCATCTTCAAGCCTCAGGTCTGATACTCCTACTCGCGTTTTCAATTTCGACT